TCAGAGATATTCTGCTGTAGCCCTTACACAACATTCATGCAGTGAAAACGGAAAAGGAACAGAAACTGAATGAAATACGAACATTTTGCTGTAGCGTAAAAATATTAAGACAACCTACATTTTCGGGGAACTACAACCCAGTGCCTCAGTCGTTGAAACAAATGCAATAAAGCTATTCTGAGTTACAAGTATATGGCCTTATACAGGCAGTCCTTGACTTACGACACACGATTGAGCCCAGAATTTATGTTGCCAAGGGAGAAATTTGCTAAGCGAGTTTCGCTCCATGTTATGGCTTTCCTTGCCAACGTTTGTTAAGTGAATCGCTGCAGCTGATAAATTATTAACCTGGTTGTTAAGCGAATCTGGCTTGTCAGAAGGCCGCAAAAGGGGATGATGAGACCCCAGGACACTGCAACCATCATAAAGATGAGTCAGTTGCCGCACGTCTGAATTTCGATCACGTGACCATGGGGGGGTATGCTGCAAGGGGTCGTAAGTGTGGGGGAAATGGTGCTAAGTCGCTTTTTTCAGTGCCACTGTAACTTCCAATGGTCACTAAATGAACTGTTATAAGTCGAGGACTACCTGTATACCTGAAACTCTAAGAGAACAGCTCAGGCACTGTCGGAATTGTTTCTGCTGCAAAAAAACCCAAAATTTTATACTGCTATCAAATGGTCACACTTCGAAATGATAAAGGATTTTGGATTGCTTTTGAGATGCCTATAATTTCTTTCTTACCGATGTTTTGATCAAGGCAAAGAAGGATTTATGCAAAATGAATTCACGAGACTCATGAGATCCACTCCCAGGAGTATCAGAGGAAGGTAGGTAATCTACAGGGATCAATGTAATCAAATGATCAATGACCGAGGTTGATGGGATTTGTAGTCCAGCCGTTCTTGGAGGACAGCACGGCAGAAAGTTTTGGAGAGAGCATATCAGTGATGGGATTCAGCCGGTTCGCACCATTTCAGGAGAACCGGTTGTTAATTTTCTGAGCAGTTTGGTGAACTGGTTGTTGGAAGAAATCATCAGGGCAGAGAACCGGTTGTTAAAATTATTTGAATCCCACCCCTGGATCATGTGTATACGTAATGTATACAAAACATAATATTGTTGTGGTTGTTATTATCATGGGGAGAGATCGCTAGTATTTCTGCCCCCACCTCCCCGATCGTTTGTGTCACATTCCAAGATACAATAATGAAAAGTAACTCGCTTTCTTGCAGAAAAATAAGGCTGAAATCGGAATTTGGGCATGAAATTTGCATTCTACACCAGCCGACCAACAAAACAGCGAAGCGTCCCCTTAAAACACGAGCAAACCTCACTTTTAAGATGCCCACAAAACTTGGTTGTTGCTAGTGCAAAGAACCGGCAATGCAACTTCGACGAAAGGAAAACAGGATGATGGATTCCCTACATGAAAAACTTCTTGAATTTTACCTTTGAATGGACCTCAGATCATGCCGGATCTGTCCCAAGCCGTTTCAATCTTAAAAGAGAATGCCAGTGAAAATCCTGCCCATTTTTTATTTTTTTTCCCCCTTTTCTTTCAACAACTTCCCTAGATGGGCAGCGATGGCCAACCGAGGTTATGTAAAGTGGTGTCCTTATCAGAATCGAATAATGCTAAAAAAAAAAAAACTGTGGAATATATACTGTAGGTTTCCAGGCTCACACACACACATCTAAGCTGGGTGCTACAACTAGAAGAGGGTGGGGGGAAACACAGAGGGGGAAAAAAAAAGAAGGATTTTAAAGTCTTGTGTCCTCAAGAAATGCCTCCCCCCCACCCCCAACCCACGGTCTCTGCTCCCATCAAATAATCCGTAAACATCCAGTTTGAAGAGCTTGTTTAGTGGAGCACAAAACTTTGCACGGCCCAAATGAGAGATATATATCGGAATGGAGAAAATGGATTGATTACATACAGAAGAAGTATCCGAATAAGAAGGTTCATACAGCTTATGAATGAAATAATATTAAGTAGTTTATGTTTGTTTTTTTCTGAGTTATAAGGAGTTAAGGACCTAGGGAGAATATGAAATGTAATAATTTGTTAGCACATTTTAGTTTTTGGTTTGTGAATGCTATACCCTGTGCTCGTTCTGGGAAGTCTAGGGAGGGGGGTGGGGGGAGGGAGGGTGGGAAGGGGAGGGGAGGGTTGAGGGGGGAAGGGTGGGGGGGTGAAAATGTTTGTATTTTTCATAAAACTTTTCAATAAAAAAAAAAATTGGCACGGCCCAAGAAACAGCTAAGGATTGGCTCCATCCAAGTCTCTTCCTCCCATCTCAAGAAATCGGGGGGGTGGGGGGGGTTGTAAGGGGATAACCGGGGATGGGGGGCATTTTTCTCTTGCATGCAAATGAGCAGGGACCATTTCCTGGTCCAGTTACGTCAGAGGTGTGCAGCTCAGAAGCGGGGAGGGCCAGGAACTGTGGGGGACACAGCTTATTCGGGTCCATACCTGGTCCATACATCAGTAGGTGCAGATCAATCAATGCTGGGGAGTGCATTCTACCAAAAGGCAGGTAGGATAGCAGGAGAGCACAAAAATGCAATTTTGCTGAAAGACTTCGTTCATTCATTCCAGGATGAGCATCGTTTTCCACCCCCACCCACCCCCCACTGGAAAAGCTACGACCAGGTTCCCTCTGGGTTGTTTTTTGGGGGGTTCTGTTTGTTTCCAGAGACTGACATGGATCCTAGGTTTCCTTATCGCTCCCTGTGCATTTGACCCTTTTCCCTTTCTGTCCAATTTATTTTTTTTTAAAGAAAAATTGTAGAATTTGAAGGAGCTCTAAGTGCCACCCCCCCACACCCGGAGAATGCTTGTGGCCTTGGGCATTGTCCTCCTTTAAATGGGCATCTAGAGAAAGTTCGTCCTTGGAAGCCATTCTGGATGATGATGATGATATTATTATTATTATTATTATTATTATTATTATTATTATTATTATTATTATTATTTTTAATTTGATTTATATGCCACTCTTCTCCGGAGACTCAGGGCGCGCTTATAATGCGTTAAGCAATAGCCTTCATCCTTTTGTATATTTATACAAAGTCAGCTTATATGCCCCACAAACTGGGTCCTCATTTCACCTACCTTAGAAAGGATGGAAGGCTGAGTCAACCTTGAGCCTGGTGAGATTCGAACCTGCAGTAATTGCAGGCAGCTGTGTTAATAACAGGGTGCTTTAAACCACTGTACTACCAAGGCTCTTTATTATTATTATTATTATTATTATATACTTTATTCATTAAACATGAAACTCAGTCAGCTGAACATTCAAAAATGCATCACAAATACCGTTGACTGGGGCTAATTATTATTATTATTATTATTATTATTATTTATTATTATTATATTATTATTATTATTATTATTATCTATCTATCTCTCTCTCTCTCTCCTTTCTGACGGTGCTAGAGATGGCACCTCAAACCACCAAGTTACACTTGGGAGGAAACTTCCATCTCCTACTCCTCCCCCACCCCCAAACCCATCCTCCCTTCCCCTCCCCCACGTATACCTCACCTCACCTGACCTCCGGAGGACTGCATGACAAACCTGGAACCTGGGAAGGCGGTTCAGGCATTCTAGGGAAAGATGGCTGACTTGAAAAGAAATGCTGGGGACGAGGGGGGGGGGAGGTGTACCCAAAGTATCCTTGGTTCTTCATCAGAGGGGGGGGTGACACCGCACCTTTTCTCCCCCCCCCCCTCTCTCTCCCGCCCCTCCCCGGCTACCAGGTGCAGGAGCTTCTAGAGTCAGGCAAAACTGCCAGGAAACCTAACCTCCCCAAGGGACGGTGAGGAGGAGACATTTCTCCCTCAATGGAACCTCCAGTTAAAGGGGTAGTCTACCTGCAATGACAGCTACCGGCAGGAAGGAATAGGGGATGGGTTTTTTTTTGTTTTTTTTTTTAAGGTCCTGCTGGCAGCTTCCCAGAGGCACCCATGAATGAAACAGACTTCACCCCCTTTCCTGCAGGACCCCCCCAGTCTCACCCCCCTCCTTCCGTGGGTCGGACTACAAAGGCCATCAGCCCCAGCCGGGGGAAATAAATGCTTTGGTTCAGAAGCCACCCAGGCTCGGGGAAAGCGCAAAGGCCAAGCCGCTGGAGGAGAACCGGGGCGGGCCAGATGCTGGTCAGCTCCCTTCCTAGTTGGACAGCTCCGGGCGAGGCTCCCCCGGCCTTCCCGGCACCCCGAGGGGATAAGGTCCCGGCCGAGACCCCCGAGGGACCCTCTCCTCGCAAGGCGACCCCGCGGCGCCCGCTCCTTCCGAGCCCGCCGAGCCCCTTCCCGTCCCGGGGCGCCGCAGAGCCCGAGAGGGAGGCCCGCATCCCGGAGCTGCGTCGGTCCCGAGCCTCCAAAGCGCGCGAGCGGGGAGGAAGAGGAGGAGGAGGAAGAAAAGAAGGAGGAAGAAAAGAAGGAGGAAGAGGAGGAGGAGCAGGAGAAGCAGGGGAAAGGGGAGGAAGAGGAGAAGGAGGAAGAAGAGGAGAAGGGGAGGAAGACGAGAAGGAGGAAGAGGAAGAGGAGGAAAAGGAGGAGAAGAGGAGGAGGAAGACGAGGAAGAAGGAGAGGAAGAGGAGAAAGAGGAAGAAGAGGAAGACGAGGAGAAAGACGAGCAGAAGAAGGGGAGGAAGAAGAAAAGAGGAGGAGAAGAGGAAGAGGAGAAGGAGGAAGAGGAGGAAGAAGAGGAGAAGGGGAGGAAGAGGAGAAGAAGGAAGAAGAGGAGGAGAAGGGGAGGAAGAGGAGAAGGAGGAAGAAGGGGTGGAAGAGGAGAAGGAGGAAGACGAGGAAGAAGAAGAGGAGAAGGGGAGGAAGAAGAAGGGAAGAGGAAGAAGAGGAGGGGGGCTGAGCCGCGCGCTCCCCCACCAAGCCGGGTGGGGGGGAGGCAAAGAGGGGCCGGGGTGGGGTGGGGGGAGTGTGGGGCGCCGGGCACGTGGCCCCGGGCGGGGGGGGGGCCGGGGCGAGCTGACCTTCTTCTTGCGGTCCCGCGAGCGATTCCGGCGCTTGCGGTTCGTCTCCTCCTTCTCCTTCTGCTCCTGCAGGGCCTGCGCCTCGATGTCTTTGATCTTCTTGAGCTGCTTGGCCGCTTGAGCCATGGCGCGGCCGGGAGGCGCCGCTGCAACCGGGCAGCGGCGAACCGGGAGCTGCGCACCGGCCGGGCCGGGCTAGAGGAGGCGTCCTGGAGGCGGGCGGGGCCAGGCGTCTCGGCGGGGAGGGCGCAGGGAAGCGCGCAGCATGGCCCGGCGGGGCTGCGCGCGGGGCGCCTGGATGCCCGCTCTTGGAAGCCCCTGCCCGGGCCGCGCCTTCTCTCCTCCTCCTCCTCCTCCTCCTCCTCCTCCTCTTCCTCTTCCACCGGGCAGCCGCTTGCAACCTGCGCAGCCGCTTGCAAACCTGCGCAGCGCCAGCCAAGGCAGCCAAGGCAGGAGGGCGCCTCTGCTGCAGTGGCTGCTGCGGCTGCTGCGCGTCTCCCCAGCTCGGGAGGTGCCGGCGCGGGCGCGAGCCGTGCAACAACGGCAACGGCGAACCGGAGGAACCGCAAGGCTGGAGGAGTGGAGGGAGGGAAGGAAGGAAGTGGCTGGGGTGGGGATTCGAACCGTTGCAGCTGCGCCCCTGCCGAGCAAGAAGCCTTTCCCCATCCCCCCCCCCCCACCTACCTACCTACCTACCCACCCACCCCACCCACTTTGCTCTTAGCGCAGCGTCTTTGCCCCAGTTTTGCGCGCTTCCCAGCAGGAGGAAGGAGCGTGGATGCGTGGAAGGGGTTTTGCACAGAAGCCGAGCGCCTCTTCCACGGTGGCTTCCACGGACAGGGAGTAACGAGGGTTGGGAGGGTCCTTGGAGGTCATCCAGTCCAACCCCCTGCTCACGCAGGACTAGGGATTCGAGCAGTGGTGAAATCCAATTTTTTTTTTACTACCGGTTCTGTGGGCGTGGCTTTGTGGGCGTGGCAGGGAAAGGATACTGCAAAATATTCATTCCCACCCCACTCCAAGGGGAAAGAATATGGCAAAATCTCCATTCCCACCCCACTCTGGGGCCAGCCAGAGGTGATATTTGCCGGTTCTCCGAACCGCTCAAAATTTCCACTACCGGTTCGCCAGAACCTGTCAGAACCTGCTGGATTTCACCCCTGGATTCGAGCCGCCGAACTGCTGAACATCCGCAAGTCATCACAGGTGCTCTGAGTATGTGTAGAGGTGGCGCGAGCGAAGCGAGGGTGCGCACACTCAGATTTGCAAACCAGTAGCGAATGTACAGTGAGTGAATACCACTGCTGGTCTGGATCATTCAGTGACCAAAGTTACAACGGCACTGAAAAATAGGACTTATGACTTATTTTTCACAGATACGACATTTTGCAGCATCCCCCCTGGTCAGGTGTTCAAAATTCAGATGCTGGGCAACTGCTTCATATTTATGACGGTCGTGGTGTCCTGGGTTCATGTGATTTTGTTAAGTGAATCTGGGGAAGCCAGATTCACTTAACAACCAGGTTACTAACTTAATAACTGCAGTGACAACAATGGCAAGAAAGTCGTACAATGGGGCAAAATTTACTTAACAAATGTTTCACTTAGCAACAGAAAAATCTGGGTTCGGTTGTGGTCGTAAGTCGAGGACTACCTGTACTGGGAAAATCGAAAATACCAGTCTAGAAGGAACCATGGCAAACAATTTTTTGTATTGTTGCCACGACAACTACTTAAGGATGTCGACAAAAGTTACATGGCGTTCAGCTCGAATTCTAAGAAATCTTATTTTTTTAACTTCATGCGGATGTCAGTCTTACCAAGATAAGGTTCACAAAGACTCTAAACCAATGTTCGTTGAACTTGGCAGCCTTTGATTGTGTGAACTTCAACTCCCAGAATTCCCCAGCCAGCATTCTGAGAGCCAGTGCGGCCTAGTGGTGAAGGCACAGGCTAAAAAAGACAGGAACTGAATGTACATGAATTCTAGTCCCGCCTTAGGCAAGAAAGGTGACTGGTGACTTTGGGCCAATCACCAGGAGAGAGGTGAGTTAGTCCCGCCTTCGGCAAGAAAGGCTGCTGGTGACTTTGAGCCAATCACCATGGAGGAGTGAGTGAGTCTAGTCCCGCCTTAGGCAAGAAAGGCGACTGGGTGACTTTGGGCCAATCACCAGAGAGGGTGAGTCTTAATCCCGCCTTAGGCAAGAAAGGTGACTGGGTGACTTTGAGCCAATCACCAGGAGAGGGTGAGTTCTAGTCCTGCCTTAGGCAAGAAAGGCGACTGGGTGACTTTGAGCCAATCACCAGGAGAGGGTGAGTTCTAGTCCCGCCTTAGGCAAGAAAGGTGACTGGGTGACTTTGAGCCAATCACCAGAGAGGGTGAGTTCTAGTCCTGCCTTAGCAAGAAAGGCGACTGGGTGACTTTGAGCCAATCACCAGGAGAGGGTGAGTTCTATCCCGCCTTAGGCAAGAAAGGTGACTGGGTGACTTTGAGCCAATCACCAGGAGAGGGTGAGTTCTAGTCCTGCCTTAGGCAAGAAAGGCGACTGGGTGACTTTGAGCAATCACCAGGAGAGGGTGAGTTCTAGTCCCGCCTTCGGCAAGAAAGGCGACTGGGTGACTTTGAGCCAATCACCAGGAGAGGGTGAGTTCTAGTCCCGCCTTAGGCAAGAAAGGCGACTGGGTGACTTTGGCCAATCACCAGGAGAGGGTGAGTTCTAATCCCGCCTTAGGCAAGAAAGGTGACTGGGTGACTTTGAGCCAATCACCAGGAGAGGGTGAGTTCTAGTCCTGCCTTAGGCAAGAAAGGCGACTGGGTGACTTTGAGCCAATCACCAGGAGAGGGTGAGTTCTAGTCCCGCCTTAGCAAGAAAGGCGACTGGGTGACTTTGGGCCAATCACCAGGAGAGGGTGAGTTCTAGTCCCGCCTTAGGCAAGAAAGGCGACTGGGTGACTTTGAGCCAATCACCAGGAGAGGGTGAGTTCTAGTCCCGCCTTAGGCAAGAAAGGCAACTGGGTGACTTTGGGCCAATCACCAGGAGAGGGTGAGTTCTAATCCCGCCTTAGGCAAGAAAGGCGACTGGGTGACTTTGAGCCAATCACCAGGAAGAGGGTGAGTTCTAGTCCCGCCTTGGGCAAGAAAGATGACTGGGTGACTTTGAGCCAAGCACTAGGAGACAGTGAATTCTAGTCCCGCCTTAGGCAAGAAAGGCGACTGGGTGACTTTGGGCCAATCACCAGGAGAGGGTGAGTTCTAGTCCCGCCTTAGGCAAGAAAGCCAACTGGGTGACTTTGGGCCAATTAGCAGGGTGCAGATCATATTCCTCAAAATCCCATAATCTCAAAAGACGGAGAGGACCTTGTACAGTTCGATTAGAGAGGGAATTTGGTCCCCTCCCCACTTTTCTTAAAGAAAGGACTTTATTTTTCTATGTGTTGGTGAGGCCAAGAATCCTCCTCCAATGCTACAAATTCTTCTGGGATAAAGAAAGAAATCTTTCGGTCCCCGGATGAGTCCGAGATCAGGTAAGTTTTGTCTGTTATGGAGACCCCACTTTCTCTGTGCCCAGAACAGCTTTTCAGAAGTAATTGTCGGAAATACAGTCCTCACCACCTCTGAAAGAATGGCTTGTATGTGGGTTTTTGTTTTGTTATGTTGAATGGCCAAACCCATTTAATGTCCGGCCAAACAAAACAAAACAAATAAATAAATCAGGATTTGCATGGCAGCGTCTTCGACTAATAAATCTGATTCAAAGGCAAAAACTTTCATGAGCTGCAGCTGACAAGTTCAGGATCCAAAAAAGTTGAACAATGGACCCCTATCCAACAAGATGAATGTTAACGTGGACAAAAGCAAAGTTTTACATTTAGGCAGGAAAAAAAAAATCAAAGGTATAAGTCAGTGGTGAAATCCAAATTTTTTTACTACCAGTTCTGTGGGCGTGGCTTGGTGAGTGTGGTGTGGCTTTGGTGGGCGTGGCAAGGGAAGGATACTGCAAAATCCCCATTCCCTCCCCACTCCATGGGGGAAGGATACTGCAAAATCTCCATTCCCTCCCCACTCCTGGGGGAAGGATATTGCAAAATCTCCATTCCCACCCCACTCTGGGACCAGCCAGAGGTGGTATTTACCGGTTCTTCCGAATACTCAAAATTTCCGCTACCGGTTCGTCAGAACCTGCTGGATTTTCACCCGGTATAAGTACAGATTAGGCTCAAAAGCAGGAACTCTTGAGAGGGACCTTGGAGTCCTAGTGGAGGATTGCTTGAATATGAGCCAGCCGTGTGCGGCGGCAGCCAAAAAGGCTAATACAATCCTAGTTTGTATAAACAGAGGCATAGAATCAAGATCACGTGAAGGATTAGTACCGCTTTATAAAACCCTAGTAAGACCATACCTGGAGGAAGACTCCAACCAATTTTTGGTCACCACACTACAAAAAAAGACGTTGAGACTTTGGAAAAAGTTCAGAGAAGAGCAACTAAGAGGATCCAAGGCCTGGAGACTAAAACTTATACGAAGAACAGTTGCAGGATTTGAGTTTGGCTAGTCCAAAGAAAAGAAGAATTATGATAGCAGTCTTCCAGTATTTATTTATTTATTCATTCATTCATTCATTCATTCATTCATTCATTCATTTTTAATTATTGTTGTGTCTTGTGTTTTAAATTGGCTGTACACTGCCCTGAGTCCTTCGGGAGAAGGGCGGTATAGAAATAAAATTATTATTATTATTATTATAAAATTTGTATGCCGCCCTATCTCCAAAGACTCAGGGCGGCTCACAACGACGAGCGACCAAGCGACTGTTAAGCTGCCACAAAGAAGAAGGAGTCAAATTATTCTCCAAAGCACAAAACAAGAAACAAATGGATGGAAATTCATCAAGGAGAGAAGCAAGCTGGAATGAAGGAGAAACTTCCTAACAGTGATGATAATTAACCAGTGGAACGACTTGCCACCAGAAGGAGTGGGGGCTCCCATCACTGGATGTTTTTAAGACAAGATTGGGACAGTCACTGGCATAGGTTCTCCTGCTTGAGCAGGGGGCTGGACTAGATGACCTCCAAGGTCCCTTCCAACTCTATTCTGTTCCAAAAGATGCAAAGAATGGCTAGGCTGGTATAGGATTGAAATAGGGAGAGGTGTGGAGGGGGGAAAGTTGTGGGGACGTCCAGCGT